GTGTGTGTGTGTGTGTGTGTGTGTGTGTGTGTGTGTGTGTGTGTGTGTGTGTGTGTGTGTGTGTATGTTAATCCCAAATTCCTTATTTATCCCTCCCCTCCTTTCCCCTTTGGTAATCATACGTTTGTTTCCTGTCTGTGAGTCTGTTTCTGGTTTGTAAATAAGTTCATTTTTATCTTTTTTTTTTCAGATTCCATGTATTAAGTGATATCATATGATATTTGTCTTTCTCTGTCTGACTTCCTTCACTTAATGTGATCATCTTTAGGTCCATCTAAGTGTTTGTTAATCCACCTCCTTTCTACCTTGCCTCATCTCATTCAATAACGTCCCACATGGCCTTCCTGCCTCTAGGATTCAAATTCCCCCATTATTCCAACATTGTTTTCTATAGGTTGGTTGTCATATCTTTAGTTTCTTTTACTCTTGATCAGTCCCACCCTACCCACACTGCCTTTTTATTTTTCATGAAAATTTTTTGGAAGAACATAATCCAATTGTCTTGTAGAATTCTAATGACTGATTCAAAACACTACTCTGAGTGTCCTTTTCCCCCCTAAAGCCCTTCACTGGGAAACTCAGTACCAAAAGGTTAAGGCTGGAGCTTAAGATTCCCATAGGCCCTCTGGGCCATGCCTTCTGTCCAAGTTCTACTGCTTGAAGGTTCGTCTCCAGCCCTCCGCTGTCCTCCACACCCAAGACTGTGCTTTTCTTGTCTCTGGACTTCAGTTTAAGCAGTCCCCTCTGCCTGGGATGTCCTTTCCCCTGCTCTTTCCCCAGCAAATTGCTCCTTGTGCTTTAAGGACTCCTCCTCCTCCTTCAGGAAGCCTTACGTAACTACCTTGCATGGGTTCTCCCCAATCTCCACTGCGATGCCTATCCCCGCACTCAAAACACTGGGTTCTAATATGGCTGTGGCTGTCTCCTCCACTAAACCATGAGATGACAGAGGACAGGGACTGTGGCTTACCCACCCTGTGTGCCTCAATAAATGTGTGTGGAATGAATGACGGAGAAATAGGAGAGAGGGAGAAAGGGCTCCTGTTGCTCTGTTCTTCAATCCCAGGAAGAAAGGGGTCAGCATACCTTCAATAAGGAAGAAAGCCAGAAGGAGGGGAAAGCCAGGTTGATGGTCCCACTCCAGGAATGAAGACAGAGGGCTCTGTTTTCTTACTGGCCTTTCTCTTAACAACAAGGAGAATTGTGTCCCCTGCACCTCTGTAAGCTTTCCTAGGCTGAGTGATTTCTGTGTTGTGCTTTTCCTGTAATAAATAGTCAAGCCTTTAGCATTAAGAGCCCATAGGCCTAGGGAGGAGGGTATAGCCCACTGGTAGAGCACATGCTTAGCATGCACAAGGTCCTGGATTCAATCCCCAGTACCTCCATTTAAATAAATAAATAAACCTAATTACCCCCTTGAAAAAAATTAAATAAACTAAAACTAAAATATTTTTTAAAAAGAGCCCATAGGAGCTGGGGGAGGGGGGCTCACCTAGCAGCCAGTGTTGGAAAGAGGAAATCCCTAAGCAGGGCAACGGATGGAGGGAGCCTCAAAGAGGAGTGGTCCTAGGGCCTGTGACTGGGAGAAAAGGAGAACTTAGAGAGCTGGTCTGGACCAGAGAAGTGTCCGCTAGGTTTTAAAAAGGCCCCTGAAGACCTTGCATGAGGAGCTGTTTTACGAGATGCCAAAGAGTTTGGGCCTGTGCCCAAATCTGGAAAGAATGTCTTAAGACCTGGCAGCAGCTAAGGAGATTAGCTCTGCCTTGGAAGAAAAGACAAAAGTGGGAAGGACTCCAGAAAAGTATTCTAAAAATCAGCCCCTAAGATTTATTTTACATGCCAACTCTAATCAGTTGGTAGGAGCTTTCAGTACTGCTAAATTGAGAAGGAGTCGAAAACCACCACCAGACTCAAAAGAAAGAAAGAAAGAAAGAGAGGAAGGAAGAAAGAAAGAAATGTAATTGTAATTGATTAATCATGTCTGCCATGGGATCAGGTAAGGAGGAACAAGAAAGAACCTGGGAATCCAAAGGAAGATAAAAGAGAGGGCTCCCAAAAAGTACCGTTGAATGACTTAAATCTGGAAATATGGGATTTGTCATTGCACAGAATTGACTTTGAAACCTTGTTCTGCCTCATTTCTTACTGTGTAATCTTGGGCAATTTACAAAACCCAATCTGTAAAATGGGATTGTTCTGCAGATTAAATTAAATGCTATATTACAATGATAATAGGAAACACTTACACAGTAACTTCTATGAGCCATTTTTCTAAGACCTTTATATATATATATATATAAATTAATTAATTTGATATCCACAACAAACCGATCAGATTATTATCCCCAGTATACTGATGAAGAAACTGAAGTTCAGAAAGGTTAAAAGTCCTGCCAAGAATGACACACCTAGTGAGTGGCAGAGGCAGGATGCACACCCAGGCAGTCTGGCTCTGAGATCAAGCTCTTGATCACCCTACAAGCTACTATAGCCACCTACTTTCCACTGCTGATTGTTCTCATGATGGTCAAGCAACTGACAGAAGCTCTATGATTTCACATAACTCTGTAAGACTTGCAGCCTGAAGTTCACACATGCATAACACACATTTAATAGAGCACTTCATCTTCAACCAGGCAGGAGAGAGTCATGAACAGGACAGGAGCATAGGGTCACTTGACAACAAGAGAAAGAAGAACAAAACCAGGACTCAGGAATTTAGCCTCCAACAAAACACCTCTGGCCTTTTTACTTTTTGCTCTAGCATGGAAAAGGCTTACTCCAGATTCACTAGAATACGCAGGACAGGGAAGCTGAGGGAGGGTGTCTTCCATTTGTGGAGGATCCATCTTGCTTTCTCCTGTGTGGGACTGAGGTGTTCTTTCACAACATGGCTGTAGACCAGGTGTCAACTAACTATGGCCAACTCCTGCACCACTGGTTTTTATAAACAAAGTTTTGTGGGAACATAGCCAGGCTTATTCTTTGATGTTTCTTCCATGGTCATATCTACTCTACTTCAGCAGATCTGAATTGTTGCAATGAAGACCATATGGCTTGCAAAGCCATGTATCTGGCCCTTTGCAGGAAATGTTTGCTGATCCCTGCTGTTCACCTTAGGCCAGACTTTCTATATATCAATATGGCACACATGATCAATTCTCTGTTCTTAACTAGGGAAGGAAGAAGATGTCCTCTCGGGTGTTTGCCAGGGGAGATATGAAGTAGGATGTCCGTAAGAAGAAACAGTATGAAAATAGACATGGCCAGAATAGGATATTGCAGAGTGATATCCTATGTTAATCTGTGTGATGTGATAACATGGCTCGATAACATGGCTCAGGGGTCAACTGGGAACCACTGGGTTAAACAAACAAGCAGATTTTGCTTCTGCGGGACTTCTCAGGACCTTTAAAAAGCCATCAAGCCTTGAGAGGGCTGCGAGGGAGACAGGGCTTAGAGAATGTCTTTTGTCTATGGAGCTATCTTCTTCAGAATGTTCTTTGACAAATGCTGAAACAAAAGAAGTCTTTAGAATCATGCTCCCTGGGAACCTGGAGTGAAAACTGTGAGCACTATGGCTGCATGAGCATGCTTTTTCTTGACAAGGAAAGAGGCAGAACAGAACTAAAGAGTAGAAAAAAGAAAGAGGTGTGTGAAGAGGAGAAGGAAGGAAGCAGAGCCCTGGAGAGACAACTTGTGAGGATGTGAGGAACACTTACACAATTGGACTGTCGGAGGGAACAGCATGTCAAAAGCTGGGCTGGATGTGTGGTCACTTTCACCATTACTATTGTCATTGTCTGCACCACCAGAGAAGCTTACCTTCCCTGAGGGTCTGACTACTTGGCAGATCCTGCATTATATCTTTAGACACATGATGTCACTTAATTCCCATTTTACAGATGAGGATGTAGAGTCACAGACAAGTTAAATAACTTACCCAGAGTCAAAGCTTATGAAGATTATAAGTGGCAGTGCATAAATTCACCTTTGTGAGTTGGACCCCAGAGCCCATGTTCCAGCACTGCCCTGCCCTACTTCTAGCTGAGTAAGATGGAGTCCTGGCATTCCATTGCACGACACACAAGGATACTGTATACAAATGCAACACCAAAACATTCTGAGGAAAAGACAAAACAAATAAACTAACGCCACTTGGGATATTTGGCTGCACAGGGCCAAACAGCTAGAGGACCGCCTTTTTTTTGCAGCACATTCAGATGTTTAAATATCATATTTTCTTCCCCTCTGTCTTTTTACTTTTAAACTATCCCCTCTTAACTTAAGTCATAAGTTATATATCAGGCTGTATCAGGCTTATCCAATGTATTACACTTGCTCATAAAGTGAACATTAGAAGACATTTTTTGAATGTTAAAAAGCATTTGCAGCCCAAACACTATGACTACTGTATTTACAATAAGCTTCATTTAGATTTCATACAACTGCCAGTTCTTTTTGGGAGAATTGGGGCCCTCAGAACAGCTACCTAGGACAGATTCCGAAAACATGAATCACAGCTCAATTAAATATTTCGTGGCTCAGAAACATGCCTGCGTTGAATGCTCACATTTATCCAGTCTGAGCTAACCGCTGATTTCCACACTTAAAATATGGTGAAAATAGAAAATCACACTACCTGGGGGTTGGGGGAGGGGAGAGATGATCCCAGGTCTGGAAAAGCAATCCAGGATGTGAAAAATTTGCACATGAGTATTCTGGATTTGCTACAAGGGGAAAAAAAAGATGGTTCCGCTGACATGCTACAAAAATCAGCTGTGGGCTCCTGAAGGCAGTTTGTGTGGGACTGTCCACCTCTGATTTACTTTCTTGAGTCTATAGCAAATAAAGGACAGCTGCAGGCGGGCCAGAGTGAAATAGAAAGGCTGTCACACTGTTGTAAATTTCTGTTTACCTGGTAAGCGGTGAGGGCACGGCTCTGGGCTCCTTGGTCCAGAAGAGCTGCAGGGCAGAGCGTTCAAATCGTGGCTGCTGCCTTTCACGCTGCTCCAGCTGCTTCTAAGATCCCATTGGAAATCCCAAAGGGCTGGAGAGCCTCAAGGCCAATATTACGTTTCCAAAAGTCTTTCTCCCCCACCAGACCCCCTCCCCCGACCTTGCTTGCGTCGACTTTGGAGCGGCTCAGGTTTCTTCCACCCCTGCTCCAAGCAGCTGGGAATCCAGGCGTTATGCTGTCCAAGTGAGGCGGCCCCTGAAACCACTTCCAGATGTGCTTGGCAGGCGGGCTCCGAAGGGCCAGACTTCCTCTCGCGTCCTCCTCTGGCAGCCTGCAAATCATTTCGAAAACAAGGCTGCTCTGGAAGAAAAGATTCAAAACTGGAGAAAAGCAAATTCTTGGAGGGTGAATTTCTATCACACGTTGGGTCCAGGTAAACTTTGAAAGAGCAGAAGTGAAAAAAATTAAGTTCATACTGATTTTAAGAAAATCTTCATGGCCACTAGCGTCTCCTGAAATGCCCTAGTCATTAAAATGCTGTTGTCCCCAAATCACAATCCAGATAAGAGCCATTGTCTCATTCTACGGCAGTGATAGAGGTTTCAAGATGGTGTGTTTTGTGCCTGAACGTGGAAAGGAATCACGCGGAGAATCAACCCCACCCAGCTCTGGGCTGTTCTGTGTCTCTGCCATTGATTCTCAGAAACCCAGGAAATGGTGCCAGCACCCTGCCAGGGATCATGAAATTTATTCCTGCAACAGCCTCTCTCCCTAGATCCTATAAGGAAATGAGTTTGCCTCTACTCACTGCCACCTTCTAAAGTGATACTCCCCAAAAGAAATACAATGCAAACCACATTGTAATTTAAAGTTAGATAGGAGCCACTTTAAGTACAAAGAGGTAAATTAATTTTAATGATATATATTTTATTTAAACCAATATATATATAAAAATAATATTTCAACATGTAATCAATATAAAACATTATTAACAAGACATTTTATACTTTTTTTGGTATGAACTCTTTAAAATCTGGCATATACTTTACACTTGCAGCACATCTCAATTTCAACACTAAATTTTATCAGGAACAATTGATACGTATTTAGGTTTCATAAAATTTGCATTTTAAAAAGTAGATTCACATACTCAAGTTGCTCCAAACATACTGCAGTTTTCCAATAACCGAACTGCAAGTCAGTTTCATAATTCAGTTTAAACTGATTAAGTAAAACGTAAAATTCAGTTCCTCAGTGGCACTAGGCACACTTTAAGTTCTCACAGCCAGTGTGGCTAGTGGGTGTGGCTAGTGGCTCCTGTACTGAACAGCGCAGCTCTGAAGAATCTGGTGGAAGTTTTTCAGACTTGAACTTGGAGGTGGGAGTATCCCGAACAGCTTCCATTTGTATAGAACTTTGAACACCGACAAGGAATTTTTTCACATCTTTTATTGTGTTTTATTCGCACAACATTCCCATTAGGTAAGTCGAGATGTTTTTTGCCCCAATTTGCAAAGGAGCACATGGAGGCTTTGAGCAAGTTAGTGATGAAGCCAGGACTGGAATTCCTGTTTGGTGCTTTAAAACTGTTTCTTACCTCAGGCGAGTCTCAAATACTAGGATTTTCGGCCGCAACTCTAGGGTTAAATTGTATCCACAGTTACATCTTCGCTTGGTCATCCTTCAGCATTCAGGCACTGTATAGAGTTACTGGAAGCTCTAGCGGCATTCTTATATACTCCCATCCTAAAGCCCTCACACCATTCAGCACCTGTGTCATTTTTCTTTGGAGCAGACTCAACATTACACTATTCCTCTTCTCCCTTGGCTCCCAGTGAGCTGTTTTAAACCACAGCTCTACTCAGTTTTTTAGCTAACAGACATGGCTGTAAAATGTTTCTCTTTGGTTGTGGCAATGATACATTTTATACATTGATTACCTGCAGGAAGTCAGAAGGTTTGGTGGCAGCACAGGGTACTGTGCACTAAGTATTCCTGCACCAGTCCTCACTGTACCCACATAAGCAAAAATAGCAACGTTTCCTGGCTCAGGGCTTGACACTGCCCTTCCAGAATTATGTACTGTCAGGACAACGGGACAGTCCCTCAGACATGTCCCAAGGCACCATGTTGGAAAGCACTCTAAGCTGACTCCTGCCAGTTGAGTTTCCTCGAAAGACTGGGTTTTCTACTCCTTTGCATCTCTCATCCACTTAGCAGAATGACTGACCCAGGGTAAGAGCTGGTAAATAAGTAAGTTCAGAGGGTATGACAACCAAAGCACCCCAGAAGGGGACTTAGAATTGAAATAATAAAGACGTTGTTTTCATAGATCCCACTGCTATTCATATTAACTTCCATATGGACCCAAATCTCTCTGTCATTGCTCTTTGTACACTTTCTCCCTGACCCCCTACTGTCTCCAATTCCAGATTCTCCTGTATTTCTGCTGGGCCATGTACTGAGGATGCAAGAGGCTTATTTCTATGACTTTGATTTCTACTTTAGATGCACAGATTCTCTCCCCTGGAGAAGAAATGAAACCAGAAAGAGACACAGGATAAAAGGGGCACTCTGGTAAGTGCAGTGGCTATTGGCATGGGCTCTGGAGAAAGACAGACAGACAGACCTAGGTGTTAGCTCATACGTTATACTTACACACTACTGAAAATCTCACCTTCAGTTTCCTCATCTGTAAAGTGGGGCAGCCTCTTGGGGATTAAAAGACATCATGCACATAAAGCACTCGGTAAGGGCTCTGTACATGGAAGTTATTATTATTGTTGTTGTTGCATGAAGACACCCCAAGGTATGAACTAGACAAAGAAACTGTAACAGTAAGTTACTGGTAACTTCTTTTTAAAAAGTCCAAATGAGTTATATGATGTTGCGAACACTGCTGGTAGCCTATTTAATAACCTCTCTGCTCCTTCCCTTCAAATAGAAACACTTTATCATTTGAGGTAGCAAATGCCCAGTTAAAAATACCTTCTCAGAGGGTCTGCAGCTAGAATGGCATGTGAGTAGAAGTCGGCTGTCTGCGACTTCCTAGAAAGCTGTTGTTTTCCTGGCAAAGAGCTGTTGGTGCCTTTTGCCCTTTCCGCCTGTCTGAAATCCAACGTGAATGCCTGGAGGTAGAGTAGCCATCTCGCAGCTCTGTGGATAAAAGACCCACACTGTGTGGCTGCATATGGCTACATGGGCTGTGTGTAGGGACTACAGTGTGAAATCAGTTAGGGTCCTGGTAGGAGGCAGATGGCTCACTCCAATGGGCTGATGGTGGAGACTGAAAAAAGGCACCATCCGGAAAGGTGTAGTCAGTACTAGGGAAACACGATTAAGAGATGGCGTAGTATCCTGGGGTTAGTAACTGCAGGGGGCTATTACCACTTCCAGTCCTGAGGGCAAGAGTATGGAGTGGTTACCAGGACTGGGCGACAGTAGCTGCATGGACAAGGCTGCCTAACAGGAGCAGCCTCTGCTGACCCCCACAAAAGGGACGGGGGTTCTTACTCCAACCTTATAATCTCCTGTTGGTGGTGCTTCCCATTGGCCAAACCCAACTGGAAGTCAGACAGCAGGAGAGCTCACGTGATGTAATACATCTAGGTCAGCTTCAGGGCACTGAACAAGTTAAAGAAGAGGAGGGAATAGATCCGAATAAGCCAAAGGAAATTATCCTTGTACAGTGTGGTTAGGGTTCTCTGGCATTGTGTGATTCAGCAGCCCTGCACATGTTAATGTTAAGGAGGGCAGAGCAAGGACATAGGAAAAACCCAAGTCCCTGGTGGCACTGGGAGTCACCACAGCAGCCCTGAACTGACCACTTTTGGAACATCTTACGTGAGGAAAGTAAACCTGAATGTGGCTAAGTCACTGTGGTCAGGTTTCAGTGATATTCCCAAACGCAGTCCTATGTGAACTATACGCATTTCTGATTTGTAGTAGCAGTAGTCAACACAATGTATGTCTGAATCATTATTATTCCATTTTATTTCTTATTAATTGAAAGTCAGATGTTCAGCATTTCTTACCCAATGGGCCTGCCTTGGCTGAGTGTACTACCTTGTAGATAAAGTCTTAGATAAAATCTCCTAAGGCTGATGAATGTGACTGGAAGGGAAGGAAGCAGCATTCTGTGGCAGCAGTGAATCACTGCACTGGGTCAGGCTGATAAGCCTCTACTTATTGCCTTGATCAACTAGGGCTGGGCTCCAAGATCACCCACGCAGGGCAGGAAATCCTAATACAGGAGCCTCAATTCCCTCTCTTTGTCTGGTAGGGCTCAATGACAGGTCATCTTCTTGTTCGAAGCTGAGGTGCTCTGGCTCTTCCCTGGAGCCCCTGAGGTCCAGCAATTACTCCTGCACCTGACTGTCTGCACTTGGGGTCCCCTTCTCCCAGATGACATGACTGTTTTCCTTCCTTGGCTCTTGCACCAGTTCCTTGCTCTGGTAACTGGTGTAGGCTCTACCTGGCTTGGAGTCCTGCCTGGCTCTTGCCAGCTACCCTCTCCACGCCTTGGCCACAGCTCTAGCCATGGCCGGAGCCCGGCGATCTGGGAACAGACCTCTCAGACACCATCTGCTCTCTTCATCTCGGGAATGGTGCCTGCCTAGGCTCTCTGCTGTTGTGCTCTGCCCACCTGCTGGCACTCCTCAAAACCCCTTCTTAGACTGCTGCCAATAACCCCTTGGCCCAGGTCCTCAACTGAGATTAAGGTATCCCTTGGACAAGGCGATTTACACTCTTGGCTGAAAACACAGCACTGTCTGCCACCTCTCAGCTCCAGTCCCTCCCTCTCAGACTGACTCCTCAGTGGCCTATAGCTTAGGAGGAGCAGAAACAGAAGTAATATAATGAAAATGATGACAATTATAGAAGTAAAACAATCTACTACTTACTAAATGCTAACTACATGCCGGGCAATGCATAAGCAAAGCCCAGTACTTTTGTGTTTTTGTGCCTTTTGTGCACAGAATAGAAACAAATTTCAGTTACCACAGTTTAGTTTAGTAACATCAGTTCCCCAACAATACAGTTCAAATCTGTTACCATAGTATATCAACTGTGAGTAACTGGATAGTTACAAACTTCACTGCCAGGTTTTCAGTCCACAAACTGACTAAGCAGATAACAGATCCACATCATGATCAGGGATCAATCGTGTCACTTCTCTGACTGTCTGTGTTTGGTCACTGGATAGCTGTTACTCAGCTTATGTACAGACGGAAGAGCATGTCGTTGTGTTGTTTCCTTAATTCCTAGTGATAAACCCATGTGATATTTACAAAAATAGATAATAGAGAGAACTGGCCAACAAAGATAAAAGTATAGCATTGGGGATCTGAATAAGGAGATGCCACAGCAGGAGGTGCAGACTAGATGTCTAACCTGGGAACTCACAAGGATCTCTGTAAATGCCAATAAAGGATAAAAACACGCTGGGAAAAAAAAAGAGAAAAGTGTAGCAAAGGAATGAAAAGTGACAATGGTGGGAGTGAAGTTCAAATCAAAAATAAATGGAGGTAGAGAAGAAACAGCTGGCTGTGGGACGACACTGTCACTATTCAACTCTAGCTATACAGCCAGAGAAATCTAGGAAAGGTGACTTTCTGAACATAAATAAGGAAAGTGGTTGTGATGAGAAGGATGAAGATGCTCCAGAGGAAGTGACATGGGCAAAAAATTCACATTAAAGGAACTCTCAAAGATATTTCACGATGTTGAAAGTGCAAAGGATAAAATATGGGAAGCTGATCCAAACTCAGAAAGGAGCATGACAATTTGCTAAGGCACAGAACAGAGGCTCACTCCTTGAAGGAAGTTTTGTGACAAGAAGATAAGCACTCAGATACTCTTGGTGAGTTGTATTAAAAAAAACAAAACAAAACCCTAAATATTTAATTTTCTATGTTTCCAATGTTTTAAATTACAGTATAACAAATAAATACTATCTACTATTTTTTTCATTTCTTAATATATTTAAAACCAACAGTCTATATTCAACGTCTTATAATAAGCTATAATGAAAAAGAATCTAAAAAGAATGTGTATGTATATGTATAACTGAATTGCTTTGCTGTACACCTTAAATTAACATTGTAAATCAACTACACTTCAATAAAAAATAAAATTAAAAAAAAAACAGTAAGAGAGTTTTAAATATATTAACAAAACATTTTAATGATTGCAAACAGAACAACAGCAATTTTCCGATTGAGAATTAAGATTGCTTCACAGGGTTTCAACTTTCATGGTCATTTTCACAGAACTGCACTCCCATGCAAGGCAAGGACTGCCTATACTTTACATACATGATCTCATTTGATCTTCAAAATAACCCTAAGAAATAGATGCTATTATCAGCCCCATTTTATAGACAAAGAATCTGAGGCTCAAAGGAAATAAATAATTGGGCCAAGACCACATAGCTCATAAATGGCTATGCCTACTGAATTCTAAATCGCATGGTCTGAACCCCTAGGCTATACTGTGAGCCCAGGTATGTACTGATGGGTGTTTGATACGTGGGAACAGGAGTAAACGACAGAAGGAGGTGAGAGATGAAGGTACCTTCTCTAATATAACTTCCAAGGGCTAGAGCAGCATTGTCCAATAGAGGTTTCTGTTTTCTATTATATTTTTATAGAACATAAATATTTATGTAATCTATAATATAGAAACAGAATATATTGAACCCTAGTACACATGTAAATCTACACGTACCTCTGAATCCATCCTTTCTTGATCCTCCAGGATCCTGCTCCATTAAATTTCAACTCTCCCTGAAGCAGGCCTACTTGATTAACTCAACCAACTCTCATTTTCAATCTTCTCCCTTGCTTGCTTCTCATTAGTGAGGCTGAAAACAAACAAACAAACACTTTCCTGGACTCCTATCACCACCTGCCTGCAAGATGACCTCTTGTTTTCCTCTGTAACAGAACCTTGACAATTAGCTAGCTGGGCACTTGGTCATTCTAAATAAAAACCACATTTCTCAAACTTCCTTCAACTGGTTGTGGCCTTCTGACTAAATATTGGCTTATGAGATGTAAGAAATAATAGGTAAAATTCCAAAATGTGTTCTGGAGAGAGGAACATTCCCTTACTCTTTCCTGCTGGCTAAAATGCAGATACAGTAGCTAGAGCTGGGGTAGCCATCTTGTGTCATGCACTGGAAAGAGGAATTCCAATCCACAAAGTCTACAAATGCTTAAAGACTTGGTGAAACAGAGCTGCCACTCTGGCTTTAGATTGTCGCTTCCAAAATTCATTTACCTGAGAGAAATACAAACTTTTAAAGCCATTATTATCTTGGTATTTCATCTCTAGAGCTAATGTAACCTTAATACACCAACTGTCCAATTCTGGCCAGCAAAACCTAAGGGCAAGTGTGCTGGGTGTCTTCTGGGGAAAATGTTTTTCCTCCCTGTAAAAGGAGAGTTCTATTTCCCCATCCTGCCCGTCTTCCTGCTTCATGCCTTTGGGCGTGTTTGTGTGAGGATACAATGTCCAGAGCTGCAACAGCTTTCTTTCGGCCACAAAGGAAGGGTCAAGAGAAATTCAGAGTCACTAATTGGAACCCTGACACCACTGAATTGCTGAACTAACTCTGGACCTACCTACTTTAAATTTATTTTGCAAGATAATTAAGAGCCTTACGATTTAGCCACTTTGTGTTGGATATTCTGCTACTCATGACAGAAGGTGTTTCCAAATGACATATTCTCCTGCTCTGATCTAAATGTTTGTGTCCACCCCCGACCAAATTTGTATGTTGAAATCCTCCCCAACAATGTGATGGTGTTAGGAGGTAGGGCCTCTGGTATTTTGGTGCTTAGGTCACGCGAGTGGAGCCCTCATGAACGGGATTAGTGCCCTAACAAAAGAGAACCTAGGGAGCTGCCTCATCCCTTCCACCAGGTAAGGAAACAGCCAGAAGTCAGTGGTCTGCAACCTGTAAGAGGGTCTTCATCAGAACCCAACTATGCTGGGACTCTCATCTTGGACTCCCAGCCTCTAGAGCTGTGATAAATAAATGTCTGTGGGTTATTAGCTGCTTAGTCCGTAGCTAATAACAGCAGCTAATAATTACAGCAGCCCAGACTAAGACATCTCTATTCCTCCTTCAGTCTTACCTTTTCAACTGGATCTTTCTTCTGGGCCCTCAGTCAAGCTCAAGTCTTATCCATGAACAATAGTAAGAACAGCTTGTCCTGTACCCATTTTTCTTCTCCAGCCACTGTTCTTTCTTTCATTTCATGGGCGAGTCTCTGTAAAAAGTAGACTACACATGTTATCTGTGCTGCCTTGCTTGTTGTTCATTCTTCGATCTTCTGTGGCTTCCCTCCTCCCACTCCTTTGAGTATTTTAATCTAGGCCATTAATAACCTCCTAGTTTGCAAATCCAGCAGACACTGCTTCTTTTTCTTATCTGACCTCTCTATGGCTTTTGGCTGTGATAACCACTTCCTCTCTGTGAAAGCTCCTTCGCTCAGGGCTTCTTTGACATCGATCTCACCTAGTTCCCTTTTGACTGCTCTGGCTATTCGTTCCCCATTTCGTTCATGAGTGCCTCCTTCTGTCTTTGCCTCTTAAATACTGGCTTCTTCAGGGCGCTATTCTGCCTCCCTCTTCTCTGCCCTTTCTACACTCTCCTCCTAGGTGGTAACTTCCATTCCAAAGTTTCAAAGATTGAAGGTAGCTTTCTTAAGAATTGGGGACCTATTTTAGACTCCTCACTTAAGCAAAGTTGAATCAAAGCTGCTCTGGTAAAATATCTTTCCCATTGGATTAAGCATCTTGTCATGGATCAAACTGTGTCCCCCCAAAAGACATGCTGAATCTTAATGCCCAATACCTGTGAACGTGACTTTATTTGAACATAAGGTGTTTGCAGATGTAATCAAATTAAGATGAGATTCTAGGATTGGCCCTAATCCAATGTGACTGCTGAACTTAGAAGAGAAACAAACACACAGGGACTATGCCATGTGATGACTGAAGCAGAGGTTGGAGTGATGCAGCTACAGGCCAAAGAAGGTCTAGGATTGATGGTCACCACCTGAAGCTAGAAAGAGGCAAGGAAGCATCCTCCCCTACAGGTTTCAGAGGGTTATGTCCCTGCTGACACCTTTTTTGAATTTCTAGCCTCTAGAACTAAAGGTGAGACAACAAATTTCTGTTGTTTTAAGCCATCAGTTTTGTGATACTTTGTTACAGCAGTCCAAGGAAACAAATACAGACTTCCACCACTGTGCTGAAGCTCCTGATCTAAGCAGACAGTTATAACTTGTAATCTCTTTTGCTTAATAATTTGCCTTCATCTTTTCCTTGGTTCAGAGGTTTTCAGCCTTTCGAATGCCATGCACCAGTTTTGCTTTGTTTTTTAATTTGAATATCAACACTGGGGTTGCAACTTTTAATTCTGTCATTGGTCTTTCGCTATAGGACATAAAAAAGAAAAAGGTACGGGGAGAGTATAGCTCAGTGTTAGAGTGCATGCTTAGCACGCATGAAGTCCTGGGTTCAATCCCCAGTACCTCCAATAAAACAAACAAACCACAATCTACTTACAGCCTCATTCATAAAAGTTAAGACATTTTAACACTAAACTCTCAGAATAAAGCCAAGTTCTTTAAATATTTTAAGTTTTATGAAAAACTCATTATTCTATACCAACTTTTCCAGTGTTGTTTCAGATACATAAAAATTTTATAACCAAAATATTTAAGAGCCCATGTTATGTATATGACCAAGAAAAATATCAATACACACATGCTCACAGCCTTCTTTCTTTGTTCCCAGTCATCTTCCCATTCCCTTTCCAAATTCTCTCTGACCATATTATGAAATTGGGGCGTTAATCAGTGAGAGTAAGAACTTGAGGAGCAGGAGCTGGAAAGAACAGTAAGAATTTCTTTTAAAAAGGGAGAGAATTACCTCTCAAAAGGAAGTTTAGATGAATGAGAAGGTGGGAGAGGCATGCTTGGGTTTGAGAGAGTTAGGAGAGGGGGATGAGCGAGGCACATGAGAGAAATTGAAAACAGTAAGATGGAGAAAAATAAACTTTAGAAAACTTGGTCTACATTATGTGTATTCGGTCTTTGATACCTTCTTCAGAGAGTGAAGTAGGGATTTAAATTGTTTTCTTCTTTTCTTTTCCTTTTCCTGCTGGACTTGTAACTCTTGAGTGTGAGTCTGTGTAGGACCAGATCATAAGGCAGCACGGGTTACTTAAGACTGATCAGAGTAAGTATGCTCTAGTGGTTAGAGGCTGGGGCTCTGGAATCAGAAATTCTGCGTTTGAATCCTGACCCAATCCTTTTCTGCTGTGTGCCCGTGAGAGTATTACTTTACTTTTTCGTGCCTCATTTCCCCATCCACGAAAGGGAGATAAAAGTACCCACTTCACCGGATCGTTGGGAGAAACATAAAATTAAGGTAAGGAGGAAACTGCTTGCCAATGAAAGACCCTCAAAGGTTAGAGAGTAATAAAATAGAAATCTATATACAATCTCCCACCTGCCTAAACAAAACAAAACAACTTTCGCGGCTCACCGTTCCTAAACTTCTTGTCATGGCACCCCGCCCCCAACCTGATCTGCCCTATTTGCCTTTGCAGGTTTAGCGCCAATCTTCCCTCGGGTGTTCTTAGCGGCTGCGGGCACTCAGCGCTCGCGGCAGCTCGGTCGTGGTCCAGACTCCCGCCCTCCCGCCCGCCTCGGCGGGCATCCTTGACGCCTCCGCGCCTCGGGGCTCACGTCACCCCCTATGCAGAGACAGACTTCCTTCTCCTCTCCCCGCGCTCCTGGCACTTCAAAACCTCTACGTGAGCTTTTCTCCCGCTGTTATCATTGTTCACAGGGTTTGACTCGCCCGCACGTCCTAGATGCTCAATTAAAGTGGCCTTAAAGGAAAACGCTGTACCTTCTCCCGCAAATACAAAACGGGGGGCTCTGGGTGAGGAGGGGAGACTTGGTCGGTAAGCAGTGTCCTTCCACCCTTAAATCCGTTGCCCCGAGTGCCGGGGCCAGCCACGTCGCCCAGGGGTGGGGGCGGGGCGGGGCTCCCTCGCCAGGACTCCTCTGCTCCACGCAGGCCTTCAGCCTTGCCCTGGACGCCGGCGGTCACGGGGCCGTCGCGCCCCACGCAGCACCCCCAACCCCCGCGCACAGCTGGAGGCGGGTCCCCGCCCTTCCCCCGGAG